CTCGCAGAAGATCAGACGCTTCCTTTTTTCACCATCCACTTTTCTTTATTTTTTCCTTCCCCCGTTTTATTTTCATTCCCGCTTTTCTTTTTCGTTCCCTCGTTTTCTTCTAATTCCTTCCAATTTCTTCCCAAAACCCTAAACGATTTCCTTCCAAATCCCTAATTGACCTTCTGTCGACTCAAATACCTCCTCCGCCCAAGAAATCACCCCACCGCCATCCACTTGCATCGCCCCTCTTTGAAGACTGAATTATTCTTAAAGACTCGTCGTTTCCCTGCCAATGCCGTTCAATCTGTTCGTTCATCCTTTGCTGCTTCAGATCATAAACTCGAGCAAATCTAAATTAGTTGTCGTCAGCTTCCAATTTTAGCTTCTAGTAGTGTGTAAGTTGCATTTTCATGTAGCTCTTTTACTTTTCTTTTGTTTACAGTTCATATCACCATTCGCTTTTCTACGCTCTACCTTCCTTAACTCCTTAATTTTGTTTATTCGTAGGGTTTTCATATTGATTATCATGTTGACTCCAATTTCTATTGTCTAGATTATATAAATTAGCATATAGATTTTGTTTCTAGATTTGATCTAAAATGAAATTGGTACCAGGTGTATGCATTAAATAAGGGGCTCAAATTCAAAACATCAGCAATCATGAATTGCAGAATGTCTCGACCTATTGGTGATATGTAATTTTGTTCCAATACTCTTGTCTTCTCTATTCCTATTTTCTTTGTAGGATCCATGTTTCACTTTTAGGTCAAAAATATAGCTATTGAGTTAGAAACACATGACAAACATAGGAACAAGTGCTTTAAAATGGACATTGTGATGCCTATTTGTAGTAGTTATTTAAAACAATATTTGGAAGCAATGAAGTTGGTAGTGATCAGAAAGTCATTGGATTTGGTGTTGAGCAAGTCGTTTTAGTTCGAGATGAATATCTTAAAGAGAAGGTTGTCAACCTTGTTGGAAAGAATGCCCTTGTTCTAACAATCATGGAGTCTAAAGAACAACAATTTCAGGTAAAATACTAATTAATCTTTTATTTGTTTTTAAATCTTAAAATGAAAATGATTTGTACAACCACAAAAGCCAAACATTATGATGCACTCAACTCTATCTTTCATGTTTTGTAGGACATATTGTTATATGACTTTTTTACCACATCGTCTTTCTCAAATAACGAATTAGAGTGGTTGTGATTTAGTTAAATTAGTGTTAAATGTTGTTTGCTAATTGCTTATTGATTTTGTATTTTTCAGTTAATTGGCAACCAAATTCCGTAACAGTGGACAAACATGTGTATGTGCAAATAGAATACTTGTGCAAGAAGGTATAAATATAATAAGCCATTATCTATGTCAAACTTTTTTACTTTCTAATTTGATAAAAAAAAAAAAGGGAAACATGAAAGCAAATGATGACTGATGAATATATATATATATATATATATATATATATATATATATATATATATGTATGTATGTATCTATATAATTCTTTTATATGTAATTTGTATTATGAATATTTATGGTTCTTGTAGGCATATATAAGTAATTTACAAAAGCATTCTCAAATGATGCTCAAGACAATAAAGTTGGCAATGGTTTATTAGAAGGTGTGGCCGGTAATGAATTATTTAGATAAATGTAAATTACCTCATTACCCCTAACTTTAAGCACCTTGACCGATTTTGATTTTCATTTAGCTCACAATAACTACTATAATAACACACATCTGGGCACCCTCTTTCTTTAATTTAAAGATTGTAATTATTGTTGAATATTGTTTCCTAAATGAATGTCGCCTTGCATGTTGTTTCATTCGTGCAGGATGTTGTCTCAAAGGTTTGATAACCATTCACCATTCGCCACACCAATTGTTGTCAATATGACACCAGGTAGAGGTTTAGTTAATTATCTTGTCATTTCTTTTATATCATCAACACTCTTAACTAATCACTATTTGTAATGCAAGTGTACATGAGTTATAATGGCACATGTTAACAAAACCCACTAAACTATACTCACTCTCATTATGAATAAAAAGGTACGCGTTAACACTGTAAGCCACTAAGACCCTTCCCTTGTTGTAGTTATTGTTTTTTTAGGAAATAAATAACAACATGGTTAATTATGGATACCAATATAGGCAAAGGTAGTTTGATACTGAGGAGACAAAACATTTGTGGGCTGATTTACCTCTTCATAATGCAACATTTCTAAACACTCTGTATTTTTTACTTGGTTTATTGATCAGGGATTAAAAAACATGAACAAAAATGCTAGTGAACTTATCCAATGCCTCCAGAACATCTATGGAAAAAAACTATCCTGAGGTACTTAATTTCTAATAACATAAATATATCTGATTTTATGTTCGAATTTTACAATTGATTGGTTTAAATTTGTGGAGTATACAGAAGCCAATTTGTCATCGATTATCCGAGTTTTTTTTTTTTTTTTTTTTTTTTTTTTGTCAAAGCTGAGAGTGTTATGGATGAGGCAAGCCTTCTCTAAAACTTTATATTTCAATTGACCAATTCATGTGTTTTTTCCTTTTGATTTGAAGCTTAACATATTTCCATTACAAATGCAAGTGCTTTTCTGTCTTTTTTTTTATATATAAAAACTGATATGTGACTCAAGATTAAAGCAGGAACAAAGAACGTGGGTAAGTTTAACAATATTTTACACTATGCTTTGTATTCTCATGGTCTCTTATTCATTGATAAGATCTTCCATCAGATGATTCATCCATGGATGAGTGCTTTATTCATGTTCTTGATAGGAGAAATATCACATACTCTGTTACTTTCTTTACCCATTAAGTTTATGTTTGAATTTGCTAATGCTTTGTAATTTTTTATAGATCAAAACACATAAACTATATTGGCTTATTTGACAGGGTTGAGGAAATGATTTGTATTGCATCCGTCAGGTAAGGTAGGGAGGGTAGGTTGTAGCTTTTCTTAATTTTAATAAAATTTGTCAAATCCTGACCTTAGTTTTAATAAATTTTGTATAGGATCCATGGTTCCCAACACAGTTAAATCTTTCTTTTATCCAAAGTCTACGCCCAATGTTCATGTAAGTTCTTTCCCATTTTTTTTAACATAAAAGAGAACTCCAATTTTTGTAAAAGATCGTTGAGTTGACTAGTTAATAACTCTATTTATATGTAGGTTTTGAGCATAAAATATTATAACCATCTCCTCGAAATGATCGATGCCAGGTACTTGTGTTGTTTGATGAAATAATCTTTAATGAATATAAACTTTAATTAATATGTGCAGTTGTTCTGATAAAGAATGGTAGTTCTGTAATTTCCTTGCTAATTAAAAAATCTTACATCCATTTTTAAATGTGCACTTAACTTTGTTGTGGTCAACACAAATGTTCAAAGAATCAAATCCCAAAAGAGAAGACAATTTCAGAACACCAGTTCCTAAACACGGTGTTTTCTTTCACCAACATGTATTACCAATTACTATTTGGTCGGAATCGAAATTCAATTCCATTCCATTGCTGGAAAAATTAAGTAGTACTTGGTTCGGCTTATTCAGTGGGATTTAACAGGAATCGGAATCCAATTCCATTATGATCCTTCTTTCTGATGCAAGATATGAAGCAATGGAGAAGACATACGGAAATGCAAAATATGTGAGGAAATTTAGAATTATCATAAATTATAGGTTGAAATCAAATATCATTCAATACTTAACTTCGGTATTTTAATATTAAAGTTTGGTTTTGGATTGTATATTTATTTGATGTTTTTGGTATTTAAATGTTAAAGTTTGGTTTGGAGTTGTATAAGTATTTTATGTTTTTGATATTTATTGTTTTTAGATTCATAATACCAAAAAAAAAAAAAAAAAAAAAAAAAAAAAAAAAAAAAAAGTTGATATTACATATCTGCGAGGGATTAGCTACAAAAAAGAAAAAAAATCAAATCTTTAATTTGCGAGGGATCAGCGATGGAATTTTAAAAAACAGAGATAGAGTTTTGCGAGGGACCAGCGACGGAACAATGTCATTGACTAAATGTAGTAAGTGACGAATTTGCGACGGATATTCCGTCGCTAAGGTCGTCGCAAGACAAAACTAATCCATTGCTAAATCTGTCTTTAAGTCATTAGCCACACTCTAATTGGCTATGGAGTATGTTTGTCGTTGATCCGTCGCAAAAGTCTTTTAGCGACGGAATAGCGACGGATTCGTTCGTCTCTAAAACCCTGTTTCTAGTAGTGTCATGCGAATCCCATGACTGTTCTTAGAACAATTGTGCACCAGGTACCCATTGCTTTCATGAGGTTTGCTTGTCAGGCATTAAGTATCTAAAACAACTTGGAAGAATGGTGGCAAAATTAGTAATGATTCCTGGAAATTTGTGATATGTATATCAAGATGCTTTCCTAGTTGATCAGTAGATTGAAGTGTGTGAATGCATTATGTATTTTGATGAATGGTATTTGGTATCAAAATCTTCATGTTGAAGCATCATGTTCTTGTGGATATAATTGTTTGATTTTACAGTAGCATAGTACATATGATATTTGTGCATGCCACCAGATTCCATGTGGTGGTGGTGGTGATTTTGTTCTGTTGATGCCTCTGATGGATGTTTAAGATTCTCTTATTGCGTGTGATATTTGAAAAGGAATTGAATTGTGGTCTAGTGGTTTTCTTTACAACTTGAGTATGATATTTTGGAATATGTTGTGATTGAGCGGCTTGTACAAAGGGGTCGTGAGAAGCTAAAAGATGACGACCTAAACTTATCAGACTGGCTTTAGTATTTGGCATCATTTTTGGGTCATTGGTAAGTAATCTTTTCTCCTTTCTACTTCATCTTGCTGCCTCTTTTTTTTTTTTTTAATCTATGCTCCTAGACTTTTATGTGCTGTTGCTAATCATGCATGACCTTGTGCTTTTTGGATATATATCAGAGAAGGTCTAGCCCTGGTCCGCATGAGTTAATTTGTTTTAGGTGTATTAATGGCACCCTTACTTCATAGGAAGGATGTAGAGAAGCCAAAAGCAGTATGTAAATGTATATAAATGAATGTATGTGAAATTTACAATTCCAGGCCTATGTCTTCTCCTCCAGCTTCCGATCCAGCACCTGTTGTGAATGCCACATCAACATTTCTCTCATAACCTAATTATAAAATACAATTAGTCCTTATTATTTTTATTAATGAGTGATAATGTTTATTTTTTTTATTTAGGACCAGGGATGTATACGATCAAGTAATTTGGAAGGTACAATTCAACATCTTCTTGATATGGGAGGAGGAAACTGGGATAGGGATACAGTTGTTCGTGCTCTTCGTGTTGCTTTCAATAATCCAGAAAAAGTTGTTAAATATCTCTATTGTGTAAGCCTAAACTCCTACAATTTCTTTCTATTTTAATAATTAAATATAAAACATTTTAAATTTATAATTTTACCGGAGCCAGTAGAACTCCCGCCAGCTGCCAGAGTTTCACCACTGCCAGGTCTGCAGGCTGCCCAGCCCCCGCCAGCTACAGTTGTTCCTCCAAGTGGACCAAATTCAAACCCTTTGGATCTCTTCACTTAGGTATTCAGTATTTTGTTTTGACTTTCAGTTTGTCAATTTTCGTTTTAGACACTATAGATTGTAAACTTGTCGTGTTTGGTCTAGGGACTTCCTGACATGGGCACAAATGCTCCTGTTGGTGCTGCTGGCAACTTGGATTTTCTACATAACAGTCCATAGGTATTTACTTATTTATTTATTTATTTATTTATAAACTAGACAACCATATCTACATACATATTTATTTATTAATTATTTATAAACTAGTCAACCATATTTATTTATGTATAAACTAGTCAACCATATCTACATACATATTAATGATTAATTATCTCAATAAAATAAAAATATAATTTATATTAGTGTTCCAGTTTCAAGCACTTCAAGCCATGGTGCAGGTTAATCCCCAAATCTTGTAGGTATTTCATAAATACAAATCAAAATACTTCTCAAAGACATCAATGGTAGTTTCTCTTTTATCTTATTTCTTATGATTTACAGGAAAGTTTTGATTCAGAACAATTTCAAGATCATCATTCAGTTGAGGTAATAATATTATCAGTTCTTCCAATTTTAGGTATTTAGTTTCATGTTTTTATCTCTTTTATCTCATTTATTATGATTTATTGGAAAGTTGGGATGTTGGATTTAACGATGATTGGAACATTGGGATGCTTGAAGAGTTCAAGGCAAAAGATAGTGAGGGTATTATTGGTTTACAATCACATGTTGAAAAAAGTTTAGATAAGTTGAATGCTAGAAACCAAATTCTTCGTGACCAATTTGGGATTGATATTGAAGCTAAGAGACATGATGAAGGGTTTTAGAGCTTCTTCAGACAGCTAATGACGAGTTACTGAAACAAGAAGGTGCCCCTTTATAGCAATGTAGTATTATGTTATATTGTTAGGGAAAACCTCTTATACCAATGTAAATTTAATTTATATATTGTAAGAAATACAATTGTATGAAATTAAATTTTATGCAATGGATTGTATTTTTGTATATGGTATTTTATTTCTATTATGAGACATTAAATGCAAATTTAATTTAAAAATTAATAAATATATAAATATATTTTTTTAAACATTTAAATTTACGATATGCAAAAATGCGAGTCATCTTCATTTATGACATGGCCTATCTTGACAGGGCTTTTAATGATACGCATTGTGTGTCATTAACACGCGCGTTGTAAGGTTACGACACGCGAATGCGTGTCGTCTTCTTTTATGACAGGGCCTTCCTTGATACGCATTGCCAGTCATAAAAGCGCATCGTAAAAGCATGTCGTAAATGCGCGTTGTCTATAGACGACGCGCAAAAGCGCGTCGTCTCTCTTTATGACAGGGCCTTCCTTGACGCGCATTTGCGCGTCATCTGAGCCTTTTACGACACGCAATGAGCATCGTAAAAGACTGTTTTTCTAGTAGTGATAAAAAAGTATATTCTTAACCATAGGAGTAAATTAGTCTTCCCCAACAGAAACAAAACGATTTTAGTTCATAGTCATGATAAAAACAAACTCAAAAGCATATTTAACTAAGCTAAACACACTTAATTTCTAAAGCTAAGTGGAATGATTAACCTAATTGCCTTGATTCTTCAAAGGATTGAAGATTAGGGTTCCTTAGCTCCTCCAAGGGTTCTTTTTCGCAGGTTCAGCTCTCAAAATCGCCAAAAGTTTTTTCCAATCGGATAATGGTTTGGTATTTATAATTATCACAAAATAAGGTGTACTCGGCGAGTAGCAGACCCAACTCGCCGAGTAGATGCTAGTTATCCGTCTTATACTAGGAGTCTTTGACTTATATTCTGGAATATTCTAATGGACTCGCTGAGTAGGCTCGAGAACTCGCCTAGTAGGAAAGCTTTTGTCCCTCATTCTTCATTCTTTTGTCTCTAATTGCTTCCCCTTGTTCCCTTTCACTCCCAAGCATGTCTTTTGGACTGAAAACAAAATTAAAACATTATTAAGTACCTTTTGTCCACATTATACTCATAATTAGTTAAAAATGAATAAGAATGTATGCTAAATAATTAACTAATTATGCGCATATCAAAATATGCCACACTTGACTTTTACTTGCCCCCAAGCTGAATTGAATTTTAACATATTAGAACATAAATATGACAACTCAAGTCTAACCCAACCATTATGCCAAGACTGCAATGCATGATTTTGTGTCTAAAATTTTCCTAAATACCCCCATACTCCAAATACTCACAATCCTCATAAACATTCACCCACTCACCCTGAACTATGCTCATTTTATGCATCCCTCTGAATCCATCCTCAGAAAACCTCCTAACCTCAAGGTATTTTTGGTTGAGCAACCCAAGCATACATAATCTAGATAATTACAATTTATGATACCACTATGGAGCTCTTTGGAATTCTCTATTTCTTTGACATTTGATCCTTGATCTCTTTGAATTCACCACTTTGTTGTTTTTGTTTTTGACATCTTCAACTTTTTGAATTTCTTCAGAATTTTTGATCTTCATATTTGATATTTTAATTTAATGCACCAAAATTCTTCAACTTTTCTTGTAATTTCCTCTCTTTTTTTTAACATGCTACTCACTTTTTTCACTCAAATTCCTACATGCTTAAGCAAGGGTAATCAACTTCAACCTTTATTGGCTAAAGATAATAATTTTCCTGGATACATTTCTGGTACACGATGCTAAACATATTGCATCCCTCAAGCTGAACGAGGTCGTGTTTTTGTCTCATGATTTCATTGGAATAAGGAAGCCACAAATGCACTAGAACGTATATAGGATCAACTAAACATTTGGGTTTTCATGTAATTATCAACACAATTCTAACATGGAACCCTAATTGCCTTTACCAAAATTTTCTAAATTAATTCCTAAGTAAAATTTTTGGTATGCTACAATTTTTTTAAAATTAGCCAAAATTAAGATTCTATATTTTCTAATATGTGACCAACCCCTTACCCCACACTTATTTTATGCAATGCCCTCATTGCATATCATGTAAAAAGTAAAAATGCAACTATAGAGAGAATTGGAACAAACTCCCCTGGGGTTGCAGTCGATAGGTTGATACTCTTTTCTTCAGCTCCATCTTCAATTGACTTTAGCCATGGGAACAGCTCATCCATGTCTTGGGTGTCATGCGTCTCATTGGTTGACAGTTCGAAATATCAAGGAACAAGCTTCTTAGAAAATCCCCAATAACAACTCTTCACGAAAAATGAATAAATGCTGCAGTGAAAGTGCTCAAAACAACTATGGAACTCGAAAATTGCTAGTCTACTCGGCGAGTAGTGTCGTGTACTCGGCGAGGAGCTCTTAACTTGCAACTATAACGTGTAATACCCCATGTACTCTCCGAGTAGAATTTGTGCACTCGGCGAGTAGGCATTGTATTGCCAAAACTAATCCAACTCATGTTCCTTTTGACTTAGGTTTTGAAATTAGAAATTTCACTGACCCTTTCTCTAAACCCTTCAGCAGCAACACCCTCCATTACTCTCGACTCAATCCTAAGGACAAGACTTCATACTTTTTCTTGAACATCTCTCATTCCTTACTTGACCCTTAACACTTTATTATGCTTCCTAACCTTCCATCCCTGAAAAATAAGCAACTAAAAGTGAAAGCAAAAAAAATCCTAAAAACAAAAATCATCCAAGTTTAACAATTGTTCAAAACAAAACACCATAAAAACACAAAACATCAAAAAAAATAAAGTCCTCAATCTTCTTCTTCCATATCGGCTCCTCCAGCTCCACTTCCTCCTCCTTCACTACCCCCATCATTCTTTCTTCCCAACTCATGATGTAGGGGTATCCCGGACCGTGTCTCGGCGCGATGTTCATTTGCTCGAAGAGGTAATCGAATGATTGATTATTATAATTAACCCCTCGTCCAATATCGTCCAAATAGCGCTGGTACTCCACCTGATTCCACCCATCGTTGTCTTCCTCCACCGGAGTAACCGGTGGGTCTTCTTGTACCCTCTCGCTACGTTGCCTTACGCGCCTTCCCGGCTCCTCGGGGATTGTCGGCTCATCCGCATGTGGAATGGAAAAGGAATCACCAAACTTCTCCATGATCCGTGCCCTCCTGTATAATGCAGTGTTGAACGGAGGGGGATAAATGACCGTGAGCGCCCTTGCTTCTTGAAAATCTAAGACCCCAAACGCCCTGGCAAGCCTTGTAACAAACATGCCTCCATTAATCTTGGAGTTCACCATTTCCTTAACCGCCCTTTCAGCAAGAAACTTGGCAATGAAATAGGGAAGATTGCAGAAAGCATCAGGAGTAATAATACTCCAAAGATAGAAGATATCAAGGGTTGGAACCTTGTCCCAATCCTTCCGCATGTTGATCGAGCTGGCTACGAAGCGGTGAATAAGACGACGGATCGGTGAGCGAATATGACCCTCCTGAGCGGTAGAAGGAATATACACCCGGGTGGCAATAGTATTCCACCAGGTAGAGGCAACCACTACCTCGGGAAGATCCTTGTGGCAATTCTCTAGAAAGGCTTCAAAATCCTCAACCATCATAGTGCTTTGATCATAAATCCCCAGCTTCCAGGAAAATTTAGCCATGTTGCATTATCACAGCTCACCACCAAGAGAAAAAGAAATTATGTTGGGATTGTAGTACTCACTACCACCTCAGAATGAGATGGTAGAAAAAAACTCCCAACACAGTTCAACATAAACTGGTTCTTGTATCTTGAATAATTATAACCAACTATCACATATGATGGTGGTATCCCCCAAGATGCATTCCTTCACCAAATATGGGGTGAGCTCCTCCTCCAAACCAAGTTTTCCTAACCAATCCCAGTCCACAACGTTGGGCAAATGAATCTCCTTCTGTTTTAACGCCTCTAATTTATTTTTTGCTAGAGCTTTAGACGATTTGGACGTGATTTTTCGAAATAAGAGCCACGGGATGTCACCTTGGCTTCCCCCTCTAGAAGATTTCCCTCTTCTGAACATGGTATCTGCATAACAACATAAAGAAAACACAAACAAACAAAACCCAACAATTAAAATCAAATAAACAAAGCTACATAGACTCCTACTCACTGAGTCCATATCCTACTCGGTGAGTAGGATGAACTTCGGGACATAGAAGCTGTCGATCCAATATAGGCTGTCCAAAACTCCTAATTTTTCACAGGGGTTTGCTGTATTAAGTCAAATAACCATAAATCTAAAAGAAATTTCTCCTAACATTGCCTAATTCATGGCAAAATTAGAACCCTAGAATTTGAGGAAACCCCCAAATCCAAATTTAAGCAAAATAGGGGCAAATCAATGATAAAGCTTGAACCTTTGATGAGTTTTAAGTGTAAAGATCTTACCTTTTCCTTTGAAAGACGAAGATTAAGTGGAAAATTGAAAAAATCACAGAGAATGCTTGAAGGAGGTTGTGCACGGCAAGTGTATAGGTTAAATGGGTGAAACCCCTTATTTTACAGATTATAAACCATCTGTGTAAGTTGGCTACTCGCCGAGTAGAAAAGATCTACTCACCAAGTAGAACTACTGTTACGCGTTTATTGGGTTATTTGGGCAGGTACTCGCCGAGTATACATGCCTACTCGGCGAGTAATCCTTGCAGTTTGAAAAAAAATTTGGAATGCTTTGAAAAATTAATGTTTTTTTTCTCATTTTTAACCATCCACCCCACACTCTAGGAATTGCTTGCCCTCAAGCAATTATATTCTTAGAAGAAGACGAATGAAAAAGATAAAATAATAAAAATAAAGTAAAGGAAAGAAAATGCAAACTTGAAACTCGAGTTGCCTCCCGAGAAGCGCTTCTTTTTA